GTGGGTGGCAACAGGCCCTTCTCCACAGACCGCAGGGCACTCAGAGGCCAATGGCTGTGGCTGCAAATGCTGCACTCCGTGGTACAGACCACAGAGGCTTGACCTGCCATTTATTTAGGCCCCCAAATGTCTACCCAAGACAGGGACCTGAGGATGGAGAGCTGCGGCAAGCTCCCATCTGCGCCTACCTGATTTAGCTAGTCCACTATAAGTACAACAACTTGCCCTTAATCCAGGGACAGCAGCACAAATGCTGCACTCCGTGGTACAGACCACAGAGGCTTGACCTGCCATTTATTTAGGCCCCCAAATGTCTACCCAAGACAGGACCTGAGAATGGAGAGCTACGGCAAGCTCCCGTCTGCACCTACCTGATTTAGCTAGTCCACTATAAGTACAACAACTTGCCCTTAATCCAGGGACAGCAGGGGACATTTTCTTTTAGTGTTTCTCAGGTGGCTCTGCTCTTTACAATCTTGTGAACACGGACGGGTAAGCAGGGTTGATGGCGAAGTCCTTTGTCGACACAGTCACCTCTTGCTTCCTTTTGCCCCTCCGTTCAGCTTGTCTCCAGCAGAGATTTAAAAATCAGAATGCTTAATAGCCCCTGCACCCCCCTCCCCAGGGAGGAGAGCGAGTGGAGCTGGAGGTGAGGGCCAGGCTGCACTGGGCACCAGTGTGAGGTGTGGCGGGGACCCGGAGCAGCAGGGTGGGAGACTCCCGCTGGCCTGGGTCCTCTGAACCAGGTCTCCACACTGTGGCTTCGTTGTTTTGTTTAGGATTCTGAATTCCCAGAGCATCAGCCATACCCAAGGTCAGATGTAAGTACCAAAATATGCTCCAAAGCCCAGTACGCATGAATTTTATTTTTTCTCCCGTTTTTGGATTATCCATACAACTGCTCTTGTCACCTCTCTGTCCTCATTCTATATGTCAGGCACTCTGCTAGGTGCTCCCAACTGTTGCAGGGAACCCTCGCAACCCCCCAGTGAGCAGAATCGGCCCCACTGAGGTGAGGACAAGTGTGGGGCTCACAGCCATCACTCACCTGCCTGCACCCAGGGACTTGCTGGGGTCTGATCATGAGCACGTGGGAAGCCAGGGTGCATTCACTGATCTCTGTGACTCCAGAGAGCTCTCAGGCTGTGATAAAGACTTTGAGGTTCCCAAACAAGTCGGTGGCTTCCCCTGGTCTTCTAGCCTGCCACCTCCCACCTCCCACAAGCCTCATCCAGGCTCCCACTCAGCCAGGACAAGGGGAAGTGTCCTTTTCTGAACACATGGGGTTACTGACTTTATCTGAGGGTAGTGGGGACATAATTTTAGAAAATTATATTATGGTGGTAAAGGATGCCCCTTCACAGCCAGGAACCCGATGCCATTCCTTTAGCCCATACCCCATCCATTTCTAGCTCCCATCCTTCACTCAGGTTCCTTCTGCTGAGCAGATACTTCTTTTCCACTTCCACCCTGGCTTTGACTTCCAAAGCTCAGTCCCTGCATTATCCCCTTCCTGGAAGCCTTTCTTGACACCATTTTCTCAAACTGTGTGTTCTGTGAGGGCCAGGACTGGACCTTCTGCCTCTTGATGCCCCAGGACCTAGCACAGTGCCTGACACATAGCAAGTGCTCGGTACATGTCGGATAAGTGAGTGGGTGGATGCGTCGTTGGGTGCGTGCTCGGTGAGGATAAATGTGAATGCAAGAGTATGAGTGGATAACTAATTCACGTGTCTTTTATGGCAGCCAAAAAAAAAAAAAAAAAACACGATGTAAGCTGGTAACCTCACAATTGTCAAAGTGGACTGAAAAGCCGAAAAGAAAATGCAGTCAAAGAAACTTAAGTGCCAGGATTAAAAAAAATAGCCAAAGAAATGAAAGACATGAGTTTAGGAAGCAAACATAAAGAGTATAGAACAAAGAAAAATAATCAAACAGATATTTAAGCAGACGAAAAGATTACCCATAGATGCCTACAAGGCATTAGAAGAACAGCTAAAGGCAATGTCAGTGCTGTCAAGGCACACAAAGTAAAAATAATAACAATAATAATAAATAAATAAGCAAGCATTGGACGTGTCCCTGTTTCCCTGGCTTTCTGCCATGTGCAGATCTAATCTCACATAATAACCCTATGTGCCAGTTGCTATTGTAAGCAATCTCATGTGCAGATTTAATCCTCATAATAACCCTTATGTGCCAGTTGCTGTTTTACCCAGTCTATGGATGGGGAAACCGAGACTCAGGGAGGGTAAGTGACCTGCCTAATGGTGCAGGGCTGTAAGTGCAAAGCCTTGATTGAAGCCCAGGAGGGTGGGATCCCAAAGCCCATCTCCACTCTGCTTCCCAAAGAAAGGAAACGAAATTGCAGAATGACTCCATGCCCTGGGGGAGCCTGCCCAAGTTCTCATTCGATGATCTGCAGGCATGAAGCAATCCGTCCCCTATTCAGGAAACACTGAACAGCCTTGTTGTGTCCTGCAGCTTGTAGAGAAAGATGGCTAGCATTGTACACAATCAACCAGCATCTGATGGAGCTAATGCCTTCCCGACCCTGACTGCTGACCAGTCTCCCGGAAGCTCACTGGGGAAACAGCCAGAGTTTTGTCTGAATGCAGCCAGTTTGCATTTTGGTATTTTGCAAATGCTGTTCTTATAGCTGAATAGGGTTCGTACTACTGAATGCTCCTTCCGTGGATCTCACGCTCTCAGTGACTCACTGACTTGTGGAGTGACGGCTCCCCAAGTGCACAGTACATCACAACACTTCACAGTCATGATTTGAATTCAGGATTTGAGCTATAACTGCTGGGCTCTGTCCAGTGTGATTCCTAGTGAGTAGGTCTAACCTTGGCTAACACTTCCTGTCCACCCAGTTCTCCCTTCCTGCCCAGCTTAGACACAAGCTGCAGTCCCTTTTCTTCAGACGGCTGGACACTGCAGCAGGACGCATGGACAGTTCCCATCAGAGCTCCAGAGTTGCAGGCCCAGTGCCCTCTAGGAGAGAATCAGGCCAACCCTTGGCACTCGCAGGCCAGTCCTAGGATCAGGAAAAGAGCTCGCTCACGTTGTTCCGAGCCCTCTTCAGTAGGTCATCTGACCTGGAATTCATAATCTGGACTTTCCTCACTTTTCTTCATTATGATGGGACCATCTAAATCTTTTCTTTGTGTTCGATTTTTGTTTTTATCAGTTTGTGCTTTGTCTGTTATGCAGTTTTTCATTTTCTTTTGTGTGTATGTGTCTGCTTGTGAAACTCTGTTGAAAATGTTTTCTGCTCCCAATACTGCAGTTTCATAGAAGAGAGCCCTGGCTTAATATTCAGGAATCCTTCAGTCCCACGTGTCCCAGGAGCCCCATCTTTAAAATAGGAACAATGACGACTCCTCTATTGTATCATGACATTGTGAGAATGAAGGGGGCAGCCTATGAAAGCCTTTGTCATTATTCATTTTGAATGTCCTGCCTGAGAAAAAGAATGGTGATCACCCACTGACCCCCATCCCGAGCCATGCCCAGTCTCTCACCACCCTGCTCTTCCTGCCCACTGTGCTAGAGCCCAGACCATCTCAGGTAGCAGGGTTGGCAAGTCAGATTTAACTGCTGGACGTACAATGTGTCCCTGAGGGAAGAACGATGAGTTTGTATCAAAAGCAATGCACCTGCCTTGCTACATGTAAGGCTTTGAAGACAGAGCATAAAATTAACTTGTTGGGAGACCAAAGATTTCAGGTCAGAGCTCTGGCCACGCACAAATTCCTTCTCTAGGATCCCCACAGGAAGCAGGGGCTCAGCCTGAGGCTGAGTGGCCTTGACTTGCCTGTAAACCCAGGTCCATGTGGGAGATGGGACTATCTAGCTATGTTGCTGGTTCATCATTTTTTTTCTCAATGCCTAGAACAGTTATCTAATACACAGTGGGTCTTGTAGAAATGAATATATGCATATATTTTTTAAAAACTTTTTTACTCCATTTACTCTTCTAGCCAGAATTTCCTTAGGAAAAGACTCTGTTGAGTTTCTTTTCACTGTGTAAAATAGCAATTCCTTTTCTTTGTCTTAAATTTGCTTCTTTTTCTGTCTCTTATAAAGCTTCTCTATTCCCAAGATTTCTGAAATTGATAAATATTTAGATATGATTTTGCCATATTTCCCTTGGCCTTTACCTTTCAACAATAGAGAACTTCATTTTTCTTAGGTTTCATATGACAACTACTGTAAAATAAGTAAAATGCATCAAATGTGTATTCCTTTAATTTAATATACATATCGTTGTTCACCTTATTGAGGTGAGAGGGCAGAGAATGAAAATGTGCTGTGCACAGACTTCCCTGAATCAGACTTCATACTGAGAGCTCACATCAGTCAATGAGGTGCTTGATGTTACCCTTATTTTTGAGACAAGGAAGGTTGTTCACCTTATTGAGGTGAGAGGGCAGAGAATGAAAATGTGCTGTGCACAGACTTCCCTGAATCAGGCTTCAGACTGAGAGCTCACATCAGTCAATGAGGTGCTTGATGTTACCCTTATTTTTGAGACAAGGAA